TCCTGCTCTCGCTGTCTCTCTCTCTGTCAGATAAATAAATAAAAAAATCCTTAAAAAAAAAAAATAGTTCATTTTTGCTTTTATTTTCCTTGCCTCCAGTGACATGTCTAGTAAGAAGTTGCTAGAGATGAGGTCACAGAGGCTGCTGCCTATGTTCTCCTCTAGGATTTTGATGGTTCCTGTCTCACATTTAGATCTTTCATCCATTTTGAATTTATTTAAAAGATCAACATTTCTAAACAATCTTTTTTTATTGTGGCAAAATACACATAAATGTACCTGTCTTCACCATCTCTAAAAGCACAGCTCAGGGGCGTTAAGCACATTCACAATGTTGTACAGCTGTCCTCACCAATGGTCTCCAGAACTTCCCATCTTCCCAAACGGAAACTATCCTCATGAAATACCGACCCCCATCCCTCCCCCGGCCCCGGCACCCACCGTCCACTCTCTGTCCCCCTGAGTCACCGACCCCCATCCCTCCCCTGGTGCCCACCATCCACTCTCTGTCCCCCTGAGTCACTGACCCCCGTCCTCCCCCGGCGCCCACCGTCCACTCTCTGTCCCCGAGTCACCGACCCCCATCCTCCCCCGGCGCCCACCATCCACTCTGTTCCCTGTGAATCTGGAGACTCTAAGGACCTCATGTGGGGGGAATCCTGCAGTATTTGTCCCTCTGTGTCTGGCCTATCTCACTCAGCATCACGTCCCCCAGGTCCATCCACGCTCTGGCAGGTGTCAGCGTGTCCTTCCGTGTTCAGGCTGAGTGACGGTCCGGTGTGTGGATGGATCACGTCTTGTGTATCCGTTCATTTGTCACCGGACACAGTTTGCTTCCCATTTGGGGACCAGTCTGTCTGCCTGGGGGCAGGAGCAGGTGTTCCCTCAGGCAGGCTCCGCATGAATCCCAATTGGGACCCTTGAATAAATAATAGTAAACAGTCCACCTTGGGGGGGCGGGGTGGGCAGGAGCCAGATGTCCCATCTGTCCTGTGATGATGCAGCCCAGGGGGCCGCAGGACTGACCACCATCCAGAGGGTGGAGGCCACAGCTTGTCCACCTCTGCCCACCCTCCCTCCTTCCCTGTATTTCGGGCATTCCTTCTTTCATTCAAGCTTCCAGAGAGGTCCTATGTCCCCATGAACCAGGCCCTGGGCAGTCTCCTCCTCCCCTCTCCCAACCTGGCCCTGGCCCCCCACCCCGGGCCCCTCCCTGATTTTCTGGTTTTACTGACCAGCAAGCAGAACCTCTAGTAACTTCCGTTGCTCTGAGCAGAGTCACGTCTCTTGGACAGTGAGGTTGATGCTTTTTAGGCCCACGTTTCCCAAAAGCTTTCCTGAGCACCTGGGCAGGGCCCTGGGGGCCACAAAGACGGAGACACTCACTGCATTCCAGGAGCTGCTAGTGACCTCTGAGCAAGGTACTGAGGGATGAATAGGAGTTTGCCCGGGGCCCAGGAGGAGAAAGGTGTTCGGGTAGCGTCCGTGCTTCTCACTGGGTCCTCAGTGTCTCGTGAGGCAGGCCCTACCTGTCCGACTCCAGCCGAGGGCTCAGAGAACCAGAGAGAGGGACAGACACAGCTCTGCGGGGCCCAAGCCAGGTGGACAGTGAAAGCCTGGACGACACCAGCCTCCTGCCCTTCGGCCTCTCACTTTTCCCAGGCTCCCACTGGGAGGAGAGAGATCAAGGGCAGGCCTGAGTCACAGGCGGTGGCCAATGGGCTGTGTCAGACTCAGGTCAGGTGGCATCAGGCCGCCTCCCAGGTGCACGGACCTCTCCCGCCCTCCTGAGGTTAACACCTGAGCCACCTCCGGGACCCTGAGGTCCAGCAGTTACGCAGTTGGTGGAAGCAGACCTCACGGCATGCGCTGAGAATCCGAGGGGACTTCCTGGAGGAGGCCAGGGGAGAGGGTCTCCCAGGCAGGGGAAGCTGGGAGCCCCACCCCAGGGCTGTTCCTGAGCACCACCTCCCACAGGAAGAAGGTGGTATCGAGCCCGGGGCACCGGCCCGCCCTGACGCACGGCTTCCTCACAGGCCGCCGTTCCCAGGCTGGTTGGGCAAGAGCCTCCGGGGCCCGGCCTCCCACTGCTGCACGGATGACCTCACGAGGGGCGCTTCGGAGAGGTGCCCTCGTTCTGTCTGGGCCATCCGACGTCCTCACCCAGCTGGACAGGACAGCGAGTGTCCCTGGCCGGATGTTTGGGGCCCAGTCTGCCTGCCTGGTGGCAGGAGGGGGGGTTCCCCCAGGCAGGCTGTGCGTGGATCCCGGATGCGACCCTAGGATAAATATTAGTAAACTTGGCTCCGACCTACTGTGCCTGACGCCACCCATGTGAGGCAAAGCCCCGCACGGCCCCTCCCTGTTCCTTTGGGTGGGGCTCCTTCCTGCCCCCAGGCCTTGGGGCGCAGTAGAGTGGCTTCTAATCCCGCCGGCTGGCAGTGGGACCTCAGCTGAGTCCCTAACTTCTCTGAGACCCCCACTCCGTTCCCTGTAAATCCAAGAAAGCGACCCCAGCAGTCCCCACCTCGCTGGGGGACCAACAGGGGCAAAGAGGGCGAACGAGGCCCAGCACCTGCAGGTGCGGGGCCCCTGTCTCTCCAGCCAGCGGCCGGCCATCCAGCACCCACCTGGCCAAGAACCCTGGTGGGCCGCAGCTCCCCACGGGGTGCAGGCCGAATCCACACCGCGGTCCCCACTGCCCGGCAGGAAGCTGTCTGCCTGGTGGGTCTTCTGGGCTCCTATCAAATGGCTCAGGGAGGGGGTTCCCCCAAAAGGTCCTCTCTTGGGGTTGCAAGGTCAGTGTCTGCTTCCTCATCATCCCTCCCAACTCCCTGCCCCAGGGGGTCCCCCAGATGGGCCTGCTCGGGGGCGGGTGCAGGGCCCTCTCCTTGGTCCAGGCTCATGCCACTGAGCAGGGAGCAGGAGTGAGCCAGCAGGTTCCCCGGGGCCTCTGCTGGATGGGGGTCTCAGGCTGCAGGGCGGGGAAGCTGCCTGGGTGGGCCCAGCTCCCGACCCCCAACCCTCCAGGATCCCCACTCAGGCTGCCCTGTCCCGGGGTCTCCCTCCCAGGGAGGGGGCCAGGGCTCTCCACCCCTTATGACCTGTCCTCCCAGTTCCCTCTGACACCCACCTGTCAGAGCACCCCCCAGGTCACTGACCCGCCAACGCTGCCCAGAGAGGCCTAGCCAGTGGGAGGCAAGGAGAGGCGGCCTCACATCACCTCACTGGGCCTCCGCTGGTTTTGGAGCCCCTCCCACATCCTCTTCCTCCCACTCAGTCTGTTCCTGTAGCACCTCAAGCCTATCTCTGCTTCCCCCTCGTCCCTTCCAGCAGGTCCCCTCTTCCCTAAGGCCTCACTTCTCCATCTGTGAAATGGGGCCGAGAAGAGCACCCCTCAGGGATGGGCCTCGCTGGGCAGCTCCATGGGCACCACTCCCTCCCCTTGGAGGCCTTCAAGCTGTCCTCTTGGCCCCATGGCCCTCAGCTCCCCCTTCCTGAGGGCAGGCAGGGCTCCTCTCCTCGGGGTCCTAGCCCAAGCCCCTTGTCCGAGCTGGTGACCCTGAAGGGCCGGGGCTCTGGACTACCCTGAGAGGTTAGGGACTTCCCAAGGTGGCGCAGCAGGGGCGGCTGGGGCAGGGTCAGTTCAGCTCCAGGGCCGGCTTCACGGACCTGCCCCGACTCAGTGCTGCGCTTGGTCCTGCGCTCTGCCCTCACCAGCGGGAAAACTTTTTGAACCAGGGACCTGCCTTTCCCTTTGCACCTGCCCTGCAAGCTTGTCCCTAACCACCAGGGGACTCAGGCCCTTCCTGTTCTGTTTGCAGTCCTTTCCCAGGGTCACAGCTAGGTGGGGGTGTTGGAAAGTGGGTGTCTTGGAGAGGCCCTGGCCGCCAGAGACCCCTTCTGCGACTCCACCCCCACCCCCACCCCCACCCCTGGGAACCCGGGAGGAGCCAACCATCACTCCTGCTCCTATAAACCCTTTAAAGGAAGAGAGTAAGTAAAAAGCCTGTCTGCCCGGCTGGAAGGCATGACTCAGCTGCCCCCTCCGCCCTCTCCAGGCTGACCCTCCAGCCCGAGCAAGGAGCTTTCCACACCCACAGGGCCTTCCCCACTGGGCTGTGCAGGAGGTGGGGGTCGCCCCCTGCCAGCCGCCAAGAGGGCGCAGGAAGGACAGGCCCTCAGGAAGGGAGGAAGCTCCCTCACATTTATTGAGCGCCAAGGGGTTCTGTTTTAGCACTTTCCACATGTTCTCTAATCTAACAAAAGTGTTACTGTCCCCATTTCACAGAATAGAAAGCAGGCTCGCAGCACCTGCTCTCGGTGTCGGCCTGGGCCCGGAGGGGGTGGGGGGGAAGAAGGAAGGTCCTGCCACGGACGGCCCGCGGGGCTGAAGGTGGGAGAGCAGGCCGACTGGGCAGGGCCATCGGAGGGTCTCGACGGGAAGGGTCCTCAAGGCGTGGGATCGGCCGCGAGCCCTGGAGCGCCAGGACTAGCTGCGGGGGCGCCTGGACGGTGGGGGTCCCGGCCCCGCCGACTCCCCGCCCTGGGCCGACCCCGTCCCCCTGCGCTTCCCGGAGCTTCCCGGCCGTGAGTCACCGCGGGCAGGGCCGGCCGCAGCGCATTCCTCCGCGGGGCCGGCGTCCGGGGCGGGGTGGGGACCGCGAGTCACCCCACGGGAGGTACAGGAGCGGAGCGGGAGACCTCCGGCGGCCGCGGGCGGGCGGGGGCGTGGCCTCGGGAAAGGGGGCGGGGAGGAGGGCGTGGTCTCGAGGGGGCGCGGCGGGGGCGGGACCGAGCGCAGGCGGGGCCGCATAAAGGCAGCGCCGGGGCCGCCTGGGCGCATCGCCCGCGCCGCCGCCGCCCGAGCGCGCTACCTGCGACATGAAGACGCCCGGCGAGGTGTTGCGCGAGGGCGAGCTGGAGAAGCGCAGCGACAGCCTGTTCCAGCTGTGGAAGAAGAAGCGCGGCGTGCTCACCGCTGACCGCCTGCGCCTGTTCCCCGCCGGCCCCGGCGCGCGCCCCAAGGAGCTGCGCTTCCACTCCATCCTCAAGGTGGACTGCGTGGAGCGCACCGGCAAGTACGTCTACTTCACCATCGTCACCACCGACCGCAAGGAGATCGACTTCCGCTGCGCGGGCGAGAGCTGCTGGAACGCGGCCATCACGCTGGCGCTCATCGACTTCCAGAACCGCCGCGCCCTGCAGG